TAGCTTCTCCCCTGAAAACCAATAAAAAATATCACAGGAATTCGAAGTTGTGTTGACAATTACTGGAACGCACTGTCACCTCCCACCCCCCCCTTCCCGCCTTCTTATTGGGTTCTTTCTAGAATCACGGGTTAATATTGGGGCTGCCTGGACGGGCTTTATCCAGGCCTCTCCCAACAAAAGGCCCCTTTTGCAAACAGACTCCTACTTTCCCTCAGTGTCCAAAGGTGTTTGCTGAAGTAAATCTGGCTAAATCCTTGCGCGGCTTGGCCAGGGAGGAGGGAGGGAAGGTGTACCGGTAATCCGTCTTCTTAACCAAAAAGAAAAAAAGTTCAGGGGGAGAGAGAAAAAAAGAAGAATGGAAGAAAGGAATCCATATCACATGATGCTATTTAAGAAGCTGAGGTACCCCCTGCCCTCCCCTGGCTGTTCGCGCCCCATCTTTGCTTAAGATTTGCATACATCCAAAGCCACAATGAAGATATCGCACTCTCACTCACGCGCAGGGCTACGACAAAGCCATCCCAGAGTGGACTCATTCCCACTGACACCTGTTATCTCGGGAACTTCCAGGTTTTTTTTCCTCTCTCTCTCTCTCCGGGTTCTTGAAGTGTCCACGAATAGTGCGTTTGCCCCCGTGTCGAAACACTATCTGTCTGTGCAAGGGGTGGGGGGGTAGAGCCAGGTCCCTGTAAGAGTATGGAGGCTATAAAAGGCTTGTAACCAGGGGACGACCAACAAACAACCACAAACACCCTAGTTATTTCACCCCACCACCACCACCACAACGGCCCGGCAACCACCCACCCGTATCTGCTCCTCGCTCCCCACCCCTGCCCCCCTTTTCATCTCAGGCCCTTTTTTCTGATGCTGAATGCAAATGCAAAGACCCTGCTGCTGGCGGCGAAAGGGGCTGAATTGTGATTAAGAGGGAGAAGAAGGAGCAGAAGAAGAGGAGCTCTTTCTTTGTTCTACCCCCGGGGGATGTTTACCAGGAGAGACACGGCGGATCAGATATGAAAGGCATTCAGGTCAGCATTGATGTGAGCGAAAGTGAAATCGTACCTAAGGCATTCCAAAGAGCGTAGTGTCAGGGGTCTGCGCTCGCCGTGCCTCTGCTAGTGTGTGTTCTCTGGCCGCCAGGCGCAGAAAAAAAGCAACAAATAAAGCAAAAATAAGACCTAGGAAGTCCAGCCCAAAAATCATGCAAACAATAAAAGCAATAACAACAAAAAAACGTCAAAATCTTCCGCCGCTAACGTGGTGTAGTGTCCAGACATGGGGGTCGTCAGTGTAATTTTTTGGTTTTCATATTTTGTCTTGGGGCCGAGTTTCTGCTGTTATCTGCGGCTATCAAAGTGCAGGAGCAGATCTAGATTAGCGACTTCATCTCTGGGAAAAGCCACATTATGGAATTTGTCGGAGGCCGCGTCTGCCACCGTCCAGCGCACATATATTCGCTGTCATAAACGCACTCGCTGTGATCCCATCAAAAAAGCCCAGCTATGACCCTCAGGCAACACATGCTTCTCCCACATGAAATCCTAATGATATTGTTGCGGAAGTCCATTCGTTTTCGCGCCGCACTGTATGTACACTTGACACACACACACACACACACACAGATGGATATATTTAGCGTGTGACGACTGGGAGAGAGGGATGAAGCAGCAGCAGCAGCAGCAGCAGCAGTAGAGGCAGAGGCAGAGAGAGACCGGCTCTGAGAGAATGCGGCCTCCTTCCTCTGCTCTCAGCTCTCAGCTCTGCTCTGCTGTGACAAGACAAATATGCTTCCTTATTAGCTCGAGCCGAGGAAAACCTGCTAGCCATTCTAACATAATTGGAATCTCATTGTTTGCATTCAAAATTACACACAAAAAATGTAATCCTGGTTATCTGCAATCTGTTAGTATCTGGAACGCCGTGCCCCCTGCAGCCTGTGCCATCACGCACATCATTCCTTATTCTCTATAAACAACAATCTTGGGACGCCTTTTTCTTTTGTAACGTCTGCTACAAAAGGAAGGTGTCTCGGGCCGTATGGGAATGGGAGCGGTGAATGGCGACGCGGACAGCCCCTGCTTCTATTGACGGCATAAACATGTAAATGAAACGCATTACCGCTGACAATCAATTGTCCAGGAAGCGTCTTGCAAAACCTCCTCCTCCTGCTCCTCTCTCTCTCTCTCTCTCTCTTTTCTCTTTCTCTCTTCCCTTTTCTGTGAACCTCTTTGACTCCAACATCTTTTTTTCACAACACAAAGTTTCGAGCAAAATGCAAGTAAGGGAAGTCGACAAGAAAAGGGGTATAAGTCGGTGCTTAATCTCCACAATAGTTCCAAACACCGGTCAGGGAGTTTGTAACAGCTAGCTTTTCAAATTGCCCTGCTCTTGTCTGTCGGCTGAGGATTATGTAATCAACGGGTATATCCCACACCCAAATGTCACTGTGGCCAAGCTCGCAATCAGGAAAACGCAAGACACGGCTTGGAAGCAGCAGAGAAAATAACATCTGTATGAGTGTGTGTGTTTTAGCTCGCGCTGGCACACTCGCACTGCGCAAGGAGAGTTTTTTTTTTTAAGTCGAAGCAGCGGCTGAGAAAACATGGACAGGTGTGTGTGTGTGTGTGTGTGTGTGTGCGGTGTGTGTGTGAGTGGGATCCCAGCTGGAGATGACAAGAAACACCTGGAGAGGGCCAAAGTCTTGCAAAAACCAAGATCGCAGCGAGAGAAAGGCCTGTGTATTTTTTTTCTTCTTTTTTTTCCCTTTAGCAGCGCAGAAAAAGGCAAAAGAAGTGTGTGTTTGTGCTCTACGGCTGACAAGATACAAATGTGTCCGTATCATTTTGACACTGTGGAGTAAGCTGCAATAAGCTGTAACACTGGATACAAAGCCTTCTTTATGACAAAACAAGTGATTTAAACTAGATGTGTTTTCACTTCTAATCACGCAAACATGTTCGACCCAGCTCTGTGTTTATGCATTTCTCCAAAACTGCCGATAATTGCCTCGAAATCCCAATCGTTTTAGAATCCCGTTCAAGTCTCTTCTGACCACAGAGCACAGAACAAGCCCCGTAACCCCGAGGGCGAAAAGTCATCGAAAAGATTGTCAATGCTAATCTCCTGTTTGTGCTAATTGCCACACATGTTGCAAAGCTCGACCAGAGACAGGGAGAGGAAAAGGGGAAAAAAAATAAAGAAAAAAGTTGGGACTTGGGTTTATAAATCAACGTTTTGAAATTCAGTGGGAAATGCCTGACAGGTGGCGAGCAAATTAGTACATCCGAGTAAATCGTGCTGTTTGCGTTCGCCCGACTTTCAACGCTGGAAACAAGCTCTAATTGTCGATCTCGGGAGCGAATGTCAATTGTTGGTTAAAGCCAGAGAGTGGATGGAGGCGTTTAGCTGTCGGCTCTGCTCCCTCTCAGCCCCCCCAGCGGAAGATCTCAGCGAAGGGAAAAGAGGGGAGAGACACGGGGTCCTTAGAGGGGGGGGGGGGGGATGGGTAAGCAGGGGTGACACGCCAAAAAACACAGCCACAATTTTTTTTAAAGAAACAAGAAAATAAAGATAATTCCCGGGCCACTGCTCTCCAGGCGTTCTCTTGTTTTTTCCCCCCTTTCACAATTTAAATGTAGATTTGGCAGAATTCATAAAAAAATAATATTGTGAATTGAAAGGATTTGACTCCCCAGGGAGGGTTTAAGAATCATGCAAAGCTTTTGCGTGGAAAAGTGAAGCCAGCCATAAATATTGTCTCCGGGAAAAGATACACCGCTTATTTATAGCAATGCATTTTAATATTTTTTTGTATAAACATCCAGGCAGATAGAAGCAAGTGAATCTCAGGGTGCGGACATAATTCCTTGTTTAAAAAGCTTATAGAGAATGTCATGGAATTGAGGAAAAATCCCAGTTTTGTAGAATCATTTCTCATTGGATTCTTGTTTTCTACACACAAACAGGTGGACCACGTCTAGTGCTATTATTATTTACAAGCGTCTCTCCTCTCCTTTCTTTCTTTTTCTTGTTTTTTTTACACATGTACAAGTCCGTAGTGAAAATCTCCAGATGCTCTCTCTGCGTGCTCTTTAGCGTGGAACAAAATGCTTGTCTGCCATCGACTTGCAAACGATCGATAAGTGAAATCTGATCTAGATAAATAAGCAATGCGAGGGGGGCAAAAAGGGGGTTTTTTAAAAAGTGATGCAAAAATTAAAATAAAATTAAAACAGCAGCCACCAGTATTACGCTTTTACGCACGACAACCCAGAAATACAGCCTCTGCTTTATTATTATTATTTTTAAACAAAACCTTGAGATAGAACGCAGGGTCTCGCGAATGTCACTGTGAGATTATTACTGGGGACCGGGAAAGAAAGCAATTAATGTCCAGGGCTTATCGAACGTGTCAGTTACATTTACGCACAAGACACCACGCTACAGAATAAGACAAATCCACGCAAAAGGCCTTTTGTCTTTGGCATTCTTTTTAGTTTTTCTTATTTAAACAAAAATTCAATCTTGGATGAGCTCCTGATCATACACCGCTGCTGTGACCAAACTGTCGCCGCTCTGCCCTCTCTCCAGAGCGGATAAACAGAGTGCGTAATGAGTGCCCAGTGCGGGGGACTATACAGGCTCCAGTCCAGTGTCCAGATTACACACAGGGCAAGATAATGGACAGAACTTCAAGGGGAAAAAAACAACTTTCTCTTGCTCTGTACATCCATGTCGCCGCTCGAGAGGCACACACAAGCCAACAACAAAACAACTTAGGTTTTACGCACGGCGATAACAGGGACAAGCACAACGCACCGTCAGAAAACACAATCACACAATCACAGCTTTCTCTTGCTGCGACTGTCCCGGGTGCAACTCACCGTTTTTCCGTCTGGGGTTGGCTTGTTTTCGCCGCTTACACCGGGGGCCATCCGCCATCATCTCCTGCTTCATTGATAAGTGCGTGTGGAGACTGTGCTATAGAAGGGGGGTGCTCAGATGGCAGCTCGCATGGACTCCTCCAGCCCGGGCTCTGCATAAGCATAAGGGGAAAGAGGAGGGGAGAGAGGGAAAGCACAGGGCACACGGCGTTAGAGCGCTGCTGAGCTGGGGTTGGAATAGATAACGGCACCGCGGCACCATGGACGATATAGTTCCATAAGCGACAACATTTACGCACGGGGTTTGCGAGGTTTTTGGAGCAGAGACAGCGAATCGAGACACCCGGATTGGAGTTCTAACTTCAATACAAGGAACGACGTATTCATTTCAAAAGTTTCCACAAGCAAAAGTTAATATTAAAACGCGTTGTCGGTGCGTGCAACCCGAGAGAGCGTGCTTTCTTATGCGTAATTCTCACAAAGCTATAGTGTTGTAATGTGGACACAGAGGTATTAGCGAGCGGAGGGGAACGAAAGAGATAGAGGACTTTAATTCTTTCGGGGCTTCCACACTCGCGGGGAAATACAGCGACAAAAGTCCGTGCTTCAGACGTGACACTACGAAATCAATAAGCGACGAAAAGCAAGACTTGTGTTTCTCCCTTGTAGAAAGTCAACATCTCTCACTCTAAATTGCTTATTTGTGTTTGGCCATGGAAGGAATACAAACACAGACAAGCACACAACACACACCACACTACACACACTACACACATATATATTTAATTATATACCTATACATATATGGGGATGTATAACGGGATTCGCCAGGTTCGCGTCTGTGCCTGGGAAACTACAAAACTGCTGCTACACACGCTCCCTTCTCCGCCGATGTCTGCCCGTTATCCAGCATGCAGGCACCGCGCGTTGACATCACGAGGTAGAGAAGTATAGAGAGGAGAAAAAAAAGAAAAAGCCAAGCCGCGCACCTATACTGCTTCCACCTGCGCAGGTAGCCGGAGCCAGGTGCGCGGAGGTATACAGTAGAGACCCAAGCGCGGAGAGAAAAAAAAACACCTACCTGCTATATTTTTGTGTTTTTTTAAGCAGCGATAAGTGAAAGAGAGAGGGTCCTGAGCGCGAAGAGAGGAGCTGGGGTGATGATACGGTGAAGGCAGGTCCTGTTCCACCGGTGATGATAATAAAAGCCTTAGAAACAGCGCATCAGAAATAGTTGGGAGGGAGGGAGGGTCCGCTGTTTCTGCTGGGGCAGGTTTACAACTGATTCCTTACACCCACTCCAGGAAACAAACCTGGTAGGGACTGACGTGTTACGCCTCTTCTAATGGCATTTTTTTTTTTTTTTTCTTTCCACCTCCTTTTCTTTGGCCGTACACACACACACAGAACAGAGAGGCGCCCCCTGAAACGCACGCCACCTATCTTCACGGGAGGGGATAATTGAGGGGAGCAGAAAACGTGAGCATCTTATGGGTTTTTTTTCTTTCTCTCCTCTCTTCTTCTCCCTCCCTCCCTCCCTCCCTTTTGCTTTCTGTGTCCCAAACCCCCCCATCCCCCCACACCCCTCCTCGTTTCACTCAACTATGCCCGGGCTCTGAGCGACATCACCGGGCTTGTCTGTGTGTGTGCGTGTGCGCGAGAGAGGAGCGAGGTACAGTCGCCGACTTCCAAATATGTAAGCGATATTTTTATGATTTTTGATATTTTTTTCAAATTTTTTTGTTTGAAAAACTATGATTTGCGTTTGATTTGTTCGTTGTGTGTGTTCGTTGTGTTGGATTTGTGTTTGCAGCTTGGATTCAAATCATCATATCACTTTCTTTCCATTTTTACAAAGTGAGAAATTACTTTTTTTTTGAGTGAATTTTTACGCACGGTAGTTGCTACTATTTGGACACTCCCAATTTTCTAATATTCATGCATTAACTAATTTTAAAAATAATTAATTGTAAAAATACGATTTATTTTATTATTCATATTATTTGACGTGTGAGATTTCCGCGCGTAAAAATCCCAACACGCACTTAGTAAAAACTATTTGGCTTCAACCCAAAATATTGAAAAAGCATTATTTGAAAAATATAAACAAAAAAACACATTCTACACTTTAATGCACTATTGCATACGTATAGGAATTGTATAGAATTGATGACCATGACACGTGGTATAAGCACGCGGCTGTCACTTTCTCAAGGAACACCGGTCAATATACATAATGTACATTTTCTTTTGCATACATAATTTTCGTAATTATTATTAATATTATTATTTATTAATATTATTATTTTTATTTATACTTTGGCCACTTTCCCTCTTAACCCAACGCTTCTCTCGCTCCGTGGCCGTTCTCACCGCACGCGCACACGCACGGCACAGTGCATAGAGAGAGAGAGAGAGATAGAGATGAGAGAAGAGAGGGAGTGGAGGAGGCCCCACCTTATACGGTTCTTAGCCGCAGCTCTGATGGTTAGTTAAATAAGGTATTATTTGGAGCCCTGTCCTTCTACATAGTAATGGCAAATTAAAATCATCAATCAGGGCTCACTACAACCCCCCCTCCCCCCCCCCCGGCCCCCCCCCCCCACAACACACACACACAAACACACACGCACACACATACAGAGACACAGATACACAAACACAGATCCACACGCGCGCACATTGACACACTTATTTTTATTTACGCTCTGACCAAGCACCCCCTCCCCCCTTCCCCCCCGCCTCACCCCTCGAGCCATCACTCCTCTCCTCTACAGTACCTCTTCCTCTCTTCTCTCTTCCAAGTCCCAAAAACAATTCTCCTCCAAAAAGTCTTGCCCGTTAACGATTACACACACACACACACAGCGAGTAATAAAACATTTCCTTAAAACACTATAAAACCTTTAGTTCTCTGTAACTGTTTTAACACATTTGTTTTTACTTCTTATTATTTCATATATTTATAACTATAGGTATTTGTTTGTAATTATTCTTTCTTGGCAAATGGGACGTATGTGCAGGTTTGACACCTGTTTTTTCCCATCATAGATATTTGTATTTTTGTTTTTTTGTAGTGATTTTTTGACCAATGTCTCGTTGCCATGCTTTGATTTTCTAAATTCCTAGACTGGAAACATTCTCAAAACTATTCAAGCTGCTGCTGCTGTGACTTTAATCTGCGCACACACAATAAATAATAATACAAACAAATATATTATAAATACTCTATTTTTTCATAAATGTGTACATTCTGTCTCCACCCTTTTCATTCCAACACGCGTCTCGTCACTCGGCTCCGCGCACACACGCACGCACACGCACACACATACACACACAAACACACACACGCGCGCGCCTTGCTTACATGCACCCCAAAAATGTGAAGACGCAAAAGATCCCCTTCGCAGCTGAACGCACCCGCTTGTCGTGTTTGGGGGAGAGAGGGGGGGGGGGGGGGGGGGGTAACTCGGGCACATTCAGCGTGAAAGCGGATTACCGTCCCCCTCTGACCTATAGAGGGACCCGCTGCTAAATGAATACATCGCTTCTATTTGGGAGAACACACAACTGCTCCACTTCACGGGTCTGTCATGTTTGAAGTTAAATAAAATTAAAAAAAGACAATAAAAACACAATTGCGTACACGCACACACACACACGTCGACAGCTGCATTAGTGCCATTTGTTGTTCCAATGGAAAGAGTTCGGCGGCCATGTTTTAGCAGAGAGATGAGCCCATGCAGATCTCCAGTTTTTTCCCGGGATAAAAGTGTGTAACCAGGAGCAGGTTTCACCCTCGGAGCAAAAGATTAAAAATAATAATTTCTGCTCTTTATTGTGCGATGTACAAGTCCAGAAATGTGCAGGAATCTCGGCTCGAGGCTGATTTATCCGAACCCTCTTGGCTTCGGCTTCAGTCTTTTTGAGCTCTGTCACTGTTAAATGTCCAGTGTGTGTCTATTTGTATATTTTTTACAATTTTGTGTAGCTTTTTTGTCTACTTTTGAACTTTTCTCTCTCTTGTTTGCACCGAGAGCCAAAGCGAAACCCTCACAACAGCAACAACTGACTCTGATTTTGTGAAATGTATTGACCCTGTTTGTATAATGAGCTATGCTGTAATAAATGTGTCTGAAATGTGACCTTTTTGTTGCATTTTTTAAGGAAAATATTGACTCAAGATTATTCCCTAGTTCTGAACACACAACAACACCTTCAACACTTCACCAGTTTTATATTTTATATTTTTATATTTTAACTCAGAAAAGACACAAAAGAAAAAATATGTTTTATTTTCAGTCATTGTCTTGTGTTTTGTTTGGTTCTTCTTGATCATCCTGATGTGTGTGGGAGACAATGTTCAAGTATCTATCCATCTATCTATATCTCTCTATCGCTCCCTCTCTCTCTGTTTCTCTCTATCTCGCTCTATCTATCTAGCCCTCTCTCTGTTTTTCTCTATCTCTCCCCCCCTCTCTCTGTTTCTCTCTCTCTCCGCTATATCTCTCCCCTATCTCTCTTTATCTCTCTCTCCCTCTCTCTATCTCTCCCCTATATCTCTTGTCTCTCTCTCTCTCCCTCCCCTATCTCTCTGTTTCTCTCTATCTCGCTCTATCTATCTAGCCCTCTCTCTGTTTTTCTCTATCTCTCCCCCCCTCTCTCTGTTTCTCTCTCTCTCCGCTATATCTCTCCCCTATCTCTCTTTATCTCTCTCTCCCTCTCTCTATCTCTCCCATATATCTCTGTCTCTCTCTCTCTCTCTCTCTCTCTCTCTGTCTCTCTCATAATCTCTCTCTCTCTCTCTCTCTCTCTCCTATATCTCTCTGTATCTCTCTCTCTCCTATATCTCTCCCCTATCTCTGTTTATCTCTCTCTCTCTCCCATATATCTCTGTTTCTGTCTCTCTCTCTCCCCTATCTCTCTATCTCTTCCCTATCTATCTGTCTCTCTCTCGTATCTCTCTGTCTCTCTGTCTCTCTCCTATATCTCTCTATCTCTCTCCCCTATATCTCTTTATCTCTCTCTCCCTCTCTCTATCTCTCCCCTATATCTCTCTCTCTCTCTCTCTCTCTCTCTCCCTCTCTCTATCTCTCCCATATATCTCTGTCTCTCTCTCTCTCTCTCTCTCTCCCCTATCTCTCTGTACCCTCTCTCTCTCTCTTACTGCCGATAATAAAACACATTTGTAGCAACTTTTTGTCAATCTTTCTAAATGTAGATGAACTGTCATGGATCTAACTTTTATTATTAACTTAAAAAAAACAACATTTTCATTTCAAACTCTTCCCATTTGTTCCCGAATCGCTTTTTACCAATTTCTCTCTTTCCCCGACGCTCAAAGACGCTTCTCCGCTCTCTCCCTTCACTCCAGACACGGTGGTGATAAACTGCTACTGTAGCCGCAGCTGCCCCGGGGCAGGCTGACAGAAGCGAGGCCCTCTGACCACCAGCAACCATCCATCAACACACACGCACACATACACACACGCATACACACATACCTACACACTTAAATACACACAGACATATACATATACACACACAAACAGACATATTCATATGCACACGCACACACACACACATATATACACTTACACACTCACACACACATATACACACTTACACACTCACACACACACAGACACACACACGCACACACACACACAGACACGGAGACGCACACACCCATATACACACACACAGTCACATGCAGACACATACATATACGCACACACACATATAAGCACGCGCACACACCTACACACTGACATACACACACAGAGACACACACACACACACACAGACACACACTGCTTTTACTAAAACAAGAAAACATTGTCTTGTCAGAATCAGACTTCTCATTTATTGTCGTTATAAGTTACACAAAAACCCAAACATGCGATTAGCTTTAGCCCACGGCAAAAACAAGTTATAAAGAAGTACAAAAAGCAACATTTTATTACAATTCCAAATTAATAAAAACAGACATTAGACATGGTGTCGATTGACGAGAAGGGGCCAGATAAAGACACACATTTCATTATTGTTAATTCATTATTATTCTGAATGTATATTTCATCTTTTCTATTTCAAATCAAAAACATGTTTATAATCATTTGGACTCGGAAACATTACGGTAAATCAGTAAATCTTTATTCATTTAACTCTGTGTTGTGTCAGAGAGCAACATTTTTTATATAATTTTATTCCATTATTTAAACACAAACAACACTCTACCCATAAACAAGAAGCCTGCGTTAAAACCTGCAAGATCAGTTCAAAATTTACATATTTAAAGAAAAAGGTTTTGTGTTTTCTTTGATTGGACCATCCAGCTGTGAAAAAAACACACACAGTAGAAATAGTAGTAGTAGTAATAATAGTAGTAGTGGTAATAGTAATAGTAGTAAAAGTATCAGTAGACGTAATAGTAATAGTAGCAGTAGTAGTATTAATAGTAGGTAGCAGTAATAGTAATAATAATAATAGCATAATATTATCAATAGTTTAAATCTATAAACAGTACATATTTTCTCAATGGGGTAGGCAGACCTTGACCTCCAGTCGTCATGGTAACTCCATTGTTTTTCCTCTGACTTCATTTAATATGAACAACATTATGTTTCAGTGAACGAGACGCCGCAGAAACGCACAATGCCGTGTGCGTTTTTCTGCGTCTCTCGTCTGAGGCCACATTTGATTGAACGCATTTGACACGCTCCTAATGGGAAATCTGGGGAATCTGAACCAGCAAAGTCAGGTGATTGAACACTGGGGAGCAGAGCAGTCAATTTGACGGCTTTTGGCATAATCACTCATCTCACGTCTAATGTTAGTCTTCATACTTTGAGACTTTTTCTGTATTTTTTTTTTTTGCCATGTCATTTATTCTTTTTAACTGTGAGAAGTTCTACCTTTATCTGATTTTTCAAGAGCTAGTTACCGTAGCAACACAGTGTCTACCATCAGAAGTTAGCATTTTTCAATTGCTAGTTACCATAGCTCAGTTGGTAGAGCAGTGGCCTTAAGGCCTGAAGGTCGTGGGTTCATTTCCCACCTCTACACCTTCTCCACCGACTCCCACTGATAACTGCTGTCGTTGTGTCCTTGGGCAAGACACTTAACCCCACTTTGCCCAAAGCCCCCCGCTGAAAGATCAAGGCTATGCTCACACTCAGAGAGCAGCCGTCCTCCTGTGGACTCACCACCTGCAGAGGGTCAGTGAGGGGCTGGTGCTATGAGACTTGGGTGGCATCTCTGACTGCCACCCCCCTGACCCAGAAATGGATTAAAGGGTAGAAAATGGATGGATGGATGGATAGTTACCATAGCAACACAGTGACTACCATCAGAAGTTAACATTTTTCAAGTGCTAGTTACTATAGCAACACTGTACTTATTATCAGAAGTTAGCATTTTTCAAGTGGTAGTTTCTGTAGCAACACAGTGTTTAACATCAGAAGTTAGCATTTTAAAAAATTTAGTTACCATAGCAACACAGTGTCTAGCATCAGAAGTTAGCATTTTTCAAGTGCTAGTTACCATAGCAACACATTGTCTACCATTGGAAGTTAACATTTTTCAAGTGCTTGTTACCATAGCAACGCTGTATTTATCATCAGAAGTTAGCATTTTCCAAGTGATAGTTACCATAGCAACACAGTGTTTACCGTCACAAGTTAGCACTAGCCTAGTTTTAGCATTTATCAAAAGTGAGTAAAGTCTTATTAAAACTTTAGAAAATACTTTCTATCGATAAATCAGGTGAAAAATTAAATATTATTTTGGGAAATGTGTCAAAATTCCAATGGTTTGAATGGGAGCAGTCAAAATAACGGCTGTGGGAGTTCTTCATCAGGATTCAACTCATTTCAATGTATTTTTGTGTCGAACTGAATCACAGCAGGAGTCGTCTCTGGGAACTTTACAAAGTTGTGGATTTGCCAACAACAGATCAGAAAATCATCCGAATTGAAGACAGGAAATGCAAAAATAACAAACACTGTAGACTGGCTGTAGACCCAGGACTGAGGCTGTAGACCCAGGACTGAGGCTGTAGATCCAGGACTGAGGCTGTAGACCCAGGACTGAGACTGTAGACCCAGGACTGAGACTGTAGACCCAGATGTTTTAACAGCTGTAACAAAAAAACAAAAAAGAAACACATAAATCTATATTATGACCCCATTATTTGCTTTATATCCAACTGTTCGGTCGTGTTTCTGTCGTTTTTTAATCCTACAATTTGTGGAACTTCACCTAAAGTGGAAAGTTTAACCAGATTCCGAACAGTGGGCGTCGGCCCGGGACGTGGACAGGACCTGGATGAACCAAGACCCAAGACACGAGCCAGATCCGTCGAGAAAAGTAAGAAATCATGAAAGAAATGTAAGACCAGAAAGACTAGAGAGAGACCAGAGAGACAAGAGAAAGACCAGGGAGACAAGAGAAAGACCAGGGAGACAAGAGAGAGACCAGAGAGACAAGAGAGAGACCAGAGAGACAAGAGAGAGACCAGAGAGACTAGACAGAGACCAGGGAGACAAGAGAGAGACCAGAAGGACAAGAGAGAGACCAGAGAGACAAGAGAGAGACCAGAGAGACTAGAGAGAGACCAGAGAGACTAGAGAGAGAACAGGGAGACAAGAGAAAGACCAGGGAGACAAGAGAGAGACCAGGGAGACAAGAGAGAGACCAGAGAGACAAGAGAGAGACCAGAGAGACAAGAGAGAGACCAGAGAGACTAGACAGAGACCAGGGAGACAAGAGAAAGACCAGGGAGACAAGAGAGAGACCAGGGAGACAAGAGAGAGACCAGAGAGACAAGAGAGAGACCAGAGAGACTAGACAGAGACCAGGGAGACAAGAGAGAGACCAGAGAGACTAGAGAAAGACCAGAGAGACTAGACAGAGACCAGGGAGACAAGCGAGAGACCAGAGAGACTAGAGAGAGACCAGAGAGACTAGAGAAAGACCAGAGAGACTAGAGAGAGAACAGAGAGAACAGAGAGACTAGAGAGAGACCAGAGAGATTAGAGAGAGACCAGAGAGACTAGAGAGAGACTAGAGAGAGACTAGAGAGACTAGAGAGAGACCAGAGAGACTAGAGAGAGAATAGAGAGACTAGAGAGAGACCAGAGAGACTAGAGAGAGACCAGAGAGAGACCAGAGAGACTAGAGAGAGACCAGAGAGACCAGAGAGAGAGACCAGAGAGAGACCAGAGAGACCAGAGAGAGACCAGAGAGAGACCAGAAAGAGAGATAGAGAGACAGGAAACAGAGTACAGAAAGAGAGACCAGCAAGAGAGCAGAGGGAGAAACCAGCATGGAACCAACCAAAGGCCAGATCAGTCGTAAACACAGACTTTTGAGCTGAGTCCGTGGTCTAGTTTTCCTGGTCTCTGGATTCGAGGTCATGGGGGAAACTATCGATTGTTCAGAGCTACAGCGGGAGAATCTTTGACAGCGGGCGCCAGAATCAATTTGAAAACACCACGGCCTTATATAATGTTCAAAAATATAGGACAAAGCACTTTTAACAATGGATGGCAGCAGCGCGGGGTCCGGAGGATGTGGCGGGAGAGAGACCTCCTGGTATCCAAAGAGCTCTCCTAAACGCAGCGTTCAAGGGAGAGCAAAGCTGGTCTTCAGAAATGCCCCTGGTTATACCTATCACAATAACATAATAATAATAACAATAACAATAACAACAAATAATAACAACAATAATGATAATGATGAATCATAACAATAATGATAATTGAGAGAAAAAAATAAATAAATAAATAAACCACCACAAATATGTATATACATATACACGCAAACTCCTCACGAACACAGATTAGGGTCACCAGCGGGGATGGTTGCCAGAGGGAACTCTCTTTGGTGCCACCCCTGCTTGATTTTTAATGCATCAGTCATGACACATCCTAGCACCTCTACACCACACCCGTCATAATATGTGTATCAGATCCCTCCCAGGATTGTTTAGAACCTTTTTGGGTGATGTTATCGGCGGCAGGACCAGTCTATAGATTTACAGTGCATATACTTTTTAATTTTTGTTAATTTTTTTTTTTTTTTTTAACCATATCTCACACACTCACACACGCACACGCACGCACGCACACACACATACACACACACACACACACACCACTCTTGTGCAACTCTGAACCCCCCCCTCCTCCCCACAATGCTACCTTACAGGAGTTTGCATAATCTATTTTCTTTGTATGTAATTACTGTATATGTTTTCTTTATATATAACTACTGTATGTTTTCCTTGGATGTAACTACTGTATATGTACTCCCCTATCACTGGGTGATTCAATAAAAACAAAACAAAAAGAAATGCCCCTGGTTATTTATTTTATACTCCCTGTTTGAGAAAAAATTAGACAAAAAATTGATCATTTTGAGGTATAAGTTACGATTTTCACCTCTGTTTTTCTAATCACGATTAGGGTAATTAATGATGGATACAAATGTGTAGTATTTGTGTTTTTTGATTGGTTTTAAATTTGTTTTGGAATTGTCTTTTTTTCAAAGTCTGGTTCGCTGCTCCAGTCCTCAGTCCCAGTCCTAAGTCTCAGTCCCAGTTCTCAGTCCCATTCCCCAGTCCTCTGTCCCAGTCCCCTGCCCCAGTCCTTAGTCCGGCCTCTGCCCCAGTCCTTAGTCTCAGTCCCCTGTCCCAGTCCCCTGGCCCAGTCCTTAGTCCGGCCTCTGCCCCAGTCCTTAGTCTCAGTCCCCTGTCCCAGTCCCCTGGCCCAGTCCTTAGTCCGGCCTCTGCCCCAGTCCTTAGTCTCAGTCCCCTGTCCCAGTCCCCTGGCCCAGTCCTTAGTCCGGCCTCTGCCCCAGTCCTTAGTCTCAGTCCTCTGTCCTCAGTCGCAGTTCTCAGTCCACACCCTCTCTGGCCTGGTCTTGCCCCAGTCCAGGCCCAGTCCAGGCCCAGCTCGCGGTGCCAGGGAAGGGGTAGAGGGAGCGGTCTTATGAGCAGCTTTCTGTCTTTGCGATTGCATCATTCAGTGACGTCTGACCACTGCAGACGTCAGCGCAGAGAGGGAGCAGGGACAAAAACAAACCGAGGTGATAGTGCAGAATATGCTGTCAGACTGTACGACGAGGAAACACAACAGACAAAAGGTTTTGAAGCAAGGTTGCAATTTCTTCAAAGCGAAATATTTCTGAATTCAACTTATTAACATGTTGTTTTCATTGGGGAATGTGCTTTTCAGTCTGAATCAAAGGTGTCACACACATTTTAGTCCAGGCTGAATATAAAAAAAATAGGAGCTGGTCAGGGGCCGAAAGAAGAGTAGGGTTTTCCTTTTTCCTTTTAATTGCTTTTACATTATGACAGCATTTTGTCATGAGTTTTGTTTGACATGAGTTTCACTATTGTTTACTAGTTGATTTATCTGAAAACTTCTGAAAATGTGTTTATTGTTTAGATTTAACCAAAACTGAATCAAAAGTTAACAAAGTTTTACAATAAGTTCAATGTGGTTGTTTTCCTGAGAAGCCTTGGTAGCCCAGTAGCATCAAAACTGCAAGTTAGGGGCCACTAATAATGGTCTTGCGGGCTGGATTTGGCCCACGAGCCTTAGTTTGACATGGTTGGTCTAAATGATAGTATTTTTACAGTGCAGTGGAATAAGAAGGAACTATTTAAATTTGTAAAAAGTCACATTTGTTATTGGTTAACTTTTTTTTAATTTTTTTTTTAGGGGTTATTTAATATGGACACAGACTGTGGACCGACCAGACACACTGCCTTTAGCGTCACAAAAAGACCAAAATAATTATCAATTATTCATTATACAAAGATTACAAGACATACAAAAACATTAGAATAATAAAAAAAAAAACATACTTATAGAAGAAAAAATTAGCAAAACATTGCGACCAAACACATACAAACGCACATAAGAAAAACTTGTCTCTGTGAAAAAAAATCTAGCAAAACAAAGCAACCAAACACACAAAAACGCACACTGTCTTTGTAAAACCACTGAGAAAATCAACCAATTAATTATCCGACCACCGATATGAGCCGAGACCGAGTCAGGCTGATCACAAATATTGAAATAATCCACAATGGGCCTCTGTACGTACACGACCAAACACGGCCTGAACACCCGGTGACATACGTTCTGGCTTCCGTCACTTTTAATTGGTCCGAAAATCACCAGCGAGAAAAACCCTCCGCATCGCCCGAACCCACCGCACAATTAGTCCCCCACCGGCGGGCGCGATCCCCACTTGAAACGCCGAAGACAACAGCCATTCTCTGCCACAAAATGGTAACGGGAGCATCTGTCGGGCCCTCTGAAATCTTTGAAAACGAGGCGAGATGGCGTCGCCGAGGCCCTTCACATCAAAACCGGCGGCGCGTTGGGGGTCTCTGTGATAACGGCGACTGAAGAGGAGTACGGGCATGCAAAAGTGGAGTTTACATTGGCGGCTGGAGGGAAAGAGGGGGGGTTGGGGGGGGTATATAGGCTGTTGTGATCTTCTGATGTTAGATTGTGAGGGAGATCAGTGCCTGGCAAGACAAAAAAGAGGGAAAAAAGCGTTGTGTTTATGCTAGGCTCTCGTTAGCCGCGGTGTGACCACTTAGAACCGCTGTAGACAAACTTAGGCCGTGGGTTTTTTGACTCTGTACTCGGCTCCGCTCTACGTACTGGGTTTCGATTCCACCTCCAGGGTCTTTCTCTGTGGAGTTTGCATGTTCTCCTCGTGTCTGGTTAGGTTTTCTCCAGGTGATCCGGTTTCTCCTACTGCCATCTCGGTGGGACTTTACTGGTTAAGACAATAATACATACTGGAGTCCACTGGTCTTGTGAGTTTGTAAGAGTGTGTGTGTGTGTGTGTGTGTGTGTGTGTGTATGTGTGTGTGTTTGTCCATAGTGAGTGTGTGGGTGTGTGTGTATGTATGTGTATGTATGTCTGTAGTGTGTGTGTGTGTGTGTTGTAAGTGTGTGGGGGTGTGTGTCGCCCTTTTGTAAGAGTGTGAGTGTGTGTTTGTCCATAGTGAGTGTGTGGGTGTGTGTGTGTGTGTGTGTGTGTATGTATGTCTGTAGTGTGTGTGTGTGTGTTGTAAGTGTGTGGGGGTGTGTGTCGCCCTTTTGTAAGAGTGTGAGTGTGTGTTTGTCCATAGTAAGTGTGTGTGTGTGTGTGTATGCCTTTAGTGTGTGTACGTGAGTGTTGTAAGTGTGTGGGTGTGTGTGTTGATCCTTAGTAAGAGTGTGGGTGTGTGTTTGTCCATAGTGAGCGTGTGTATGTATGTCTGTAGTGTGTGTGTGTGTGTGTGTGTGTATGTATGTCTGTAGTGTGTGTGTGTGTGTGTATGCCTGTAGTGTGTGTTTGTGAGTGTTGTAAGTGTGTGGGGGTGTGTGTTGACCTTTTGTAAGAGTACAAGTGTGTGTTTGTCCATAGTAAGTGTGTGTGTGTGTGTGTGTGTGTGTGAGTGTATGAGTGTATGCCTGTAGTAAGTGTGTGAGTATGTGTGCCTCTAGTAATTGTGTGTGTGATGTGTGTGTGTCATACTTCCAAAAAAAATCCTGATCTTCTACCATTTTTATCGTTTACCGACTTTTCCAAACCGTTGCCGTCGACGACCCTCCAGCGGTGGAACGGCAGCACACACATTTTGGACAACTGCCACCACAACTAATCTTGTACGTTTACTCCGACTCGACAAGTAAATTTGTTTTGATTTGGATTCTGATAGATCCCCCAAGAAAACTTCTCTGACATAAAAAAAGATGACTTATTGCTCGCGGAAATGAATAATTGACGGCGTCTCCGTTGAATAATTAATCAAACATTTGAATAATTGTTGTAGCCATAATCTGGGCAGGCATTTACATATATGGGCGTGTTTCCTGTCTCTGCGCAGATGGAGTGGATGCGATTGGCTCGTACCAGGAGGCAGTCCGGCTTTCTCTCTCTGCGGCGAATTCATTTGGGTGAAAGCTTGAGAAATGTCATAAAATCTATACACGTGCGCCATATTATTAAAACAAAACGGAGAGAGTGGATGTGAGTCATGTGCAAACAGCAGCAGTCTCCGTTTTTGGTCCATAACGCTGTATTGAGTCCAGTTGGGATGCCCTTATATGGTCGTATCATAGCCCGGGTGTTGTGAATATAGTACACATCATTCGTCTCACTTTTAGCCGTAACAATAACCAACTGCGGAACAATGTGCAACACGTAAATATGAAAAGATGGATGTGGTCGTTTTGGAATGACCCCGACAAATACTGTGAAGAACTGATCAAAAAAGCAAAAAAGGCTGGAATCAGTTTGACTGTAAAATCTAATCTGGAGTTTCGTTTATTGAGCAAAGGTTTGAGCTGGAACACTGAGCTGAATGAAAATATGTATTAAATATACTATTTTTTTACATATTTTTGGTCTCACAACTTTGAATAAGCGCTTATCTGGGTCTTTCTCTGATATCTCTCTCTCTGGACTCTCTCTCTGGTCCCTCTCTCTCTAGTCTCTCTGTGGTCTCTCTCCCTCCACTGTCTCTCTTGTTTCTCTCTCTCTGGTCTCTCTCTCTGGTCCCTCTCTCTCTAGTCTCTCTCTAGTCTCTCTCTCTCTCTCTGGTCTCTCTGTGGTCTCTCTCCCTCCACTGTCTATCTTGTTTCTCTCTCTCTGGACCCTCTCTGTCAGGTCTCCCTCTGAGTTTTCTCTCTCTTCGCTCTCTCTCAGGTCTCTCTCTGTTCTCTCTGCTCTCTCTCTTTCTTCTCTCGCTTGTTTCTCTCTCTCTGGACTCTCTTATTCAGGTCTCTCTCTCAGGTCTCTCTCTGGTCGCTCTGCTTTCTCTCCCTCCACTCTCTCTCTGCATTCTCTCTCTGGTATCTCTCCTTTCTCTCTCTTTGGTCCCTGTCTCTCTAGTCTCTCTCTCTAGTCTCTCTCTCTGGTCTCTCTGTGGTCTCTCTCCCTCCACTGTCTCTCTTGTTTCTCTCTCTCTCTGGACTCTCTATGTCAGATCTCCCTCTGAGGTTTATCTCTCTTCGCTCTCTCTCAGGTCTCTCTTTGTTCTCTCTGCCCTCTCTCTTTCTTCTCTCGCTTGTTTCTCTCTCTCTGGACTCTCTTTGTCAGGTCTCTCTCTCAATTCTCTCACTGGTCTCTCTGCTCTCTCTCCCTCTACTCTCTCTCTTGTTTCTCTCTGTCTGGATTCTCTCTCTGGTATCTCTCCTTTCTCTCTCTCTGGTCCCTCTCTCTTTGGTCCCTGTCTCTCTAGTCTCTCTCTCTGGTCTTTCTGTGGTCTCTCTCCCTCCACTGTCTCTCTTGTTTCTCTCTCTCTGGACTCTCTCTGTCAGGTCTCCCTCTGAGGTTTATCTCTCTTCGCTCTCTCTCAGGTCTCTCTCTGCTCTCTCTATTTCTTCTCTCGCTTGTTTCTCTCTCTCTCTCTTTGTCAGGTCTCTCTTTCAAGTCTCTCACTGGTCTCTCTGCTTTCTCTCCCTCCACTCTCTCTCTCCTTTCTCTCTTTCTGGTCTCCCTCTGGTCTCTTGCTCTCTGCCTACTCTCCCTCTTGTTTCTCTCTCTCTGGACTCTCTCTTTCTCAGGTTGCTCTGCTCTCTCTCCCTCTACTCTCTCTCCCAGTACTCTCTCAAGTCTCCCTGCTCTTTCTCTGAAATCCGTGTATTTTGCACATTTTTTTAAACTTTTTTTTCAGACAGAAAAGTGAAAAAAAGAGAACCCTCGCTCAGCCAATCAGCTCTCCTCCCAAAGTGTTAAAAAGTGACAAGATAACATGATTACTAACGAGACAACCATGTCGGATTTGTTCAACACATGCTGAATGGGATATAGATTCCAAAAACAAATGGAAAGTTTTCTCTATAGCAGCCACAACAACATATGTGTGAACACAGGAGCTCAAACTAGTAATAAGTATTAATAGATTCATTGCTGGTGCTTTTTTGAAGACTTTTCGCTGTTTTGATATTTGTTCATAATCCAATGAAAAACGGCAA